GCGCGACGCCGATGGTATCCGATAAGATAGATAACGATGGAAAGAAGGAACATTCAATGCAGATCGTTCATCCGGAGAATATATTTTACGACATATCGAATATTACGGACGACGAGTCCGATTCCAATATTAGAGAAGCCGAAGAGCCGAAGGCAAAGAACGGTAGATTTTCTAATTTACAAGAATACTGCGTGACGCAGAATCCCGAAGCGGAAAAAAACCAAAGTGAATCCGATGGGAAGAAATCAGATGCGAGAGGGAGCGTCTCAAAGAGAGCCGTCGATAAAGTTACATCGCAGTCTGATGCTGATGATAACGATATGATAACTAATATAAATGTTTGTTCGAAAATAGACAGCAACAAAACTGAATCGACCGAATGTCAAGAGAAGCTATCGAAGGCTGAAAGTTCCTCGAAGAGCAAATTGAGTCACATGGAATCGGAGAATATTCCATATGTACGAATTATTAGATCACCTACAGTGGATTTGATGATAAAAGATAAAACGACAGATACCTCGTTGCAACAAGTGGAACCAGAAAAGATCACTCGTTTGCGAAGAGAAAGTTCGATGACGGAAGATGTGATGACGGATTCTCCATCGCGCAATAAAACGAAAAGGCCTCCGCGATCGCAAAGAGCGAGTTCAACGGCGAAGGATTCGTCGATGGATTCACCATCACGAAGTAAAGATTTTGAAGAACCTCCTCTATTACGAAGGATGACTTCAATTACATCAGATTTATCGACAAATCCTTCGTCGCAGGAAACATATTCTGAAAAGCCGCCGCGATTAAGGAGATCGACCTCGATAACGACAATAGAGACAGGTTCTTCGTCGGGAAGATCGTTACGCAGCCGAAGAGCAAGTTCTCTTGTTAAGGACGTGCTAATGAACTCACTCGTGATGGACGAAAACCTCGATAGACCTGCGACGGAATTGGGAAATTCTGACGCGTCGCCGTCAATTAAAAGAGATCTCAGATCTACACCAGCGAAAAAGACTCTTCGGACTGAGATCAAAGATAGCGATTTCGAGAGCATTAAGGATGAGCTACCAGTGAGGAGAAGTACGAGACTTAGCTCTTCTACTGCGAGAAAAGAATTACAAGAAGATGCGCCGAGAAGTCCCGCAAAGCTGACGAGCGACGATGAAGAGGACAAGAGTACGAGGAAGAGATCCTTGCGCGCAAGAAAGTCCTCGGTGTCGTCCGATACGGACAAAACAACGACGAGCAGATCTTCCTCGAGATTGTCCGCCAGGGGTTTGGACAAGAAGATAGTACCAGAGGAGGAGGAGTTTAAGGAGATCAAGACAAGCCGAAGACGCGGCAATTCAGTGCCTAAGGAGATTACAATGCAGACTGGCAGGAGGAGAAGGTCCAGTAGTATAATAAAAGAAATTATCCCGGAAGTTACCGAGCCATCGGAGGAGGAGTCGAGGACATCTAGGAGTTCCGTCGCGAGAGATACGTCGGACGTCGTTAACATACCATTGACGAGAAACACACGCAATCGAAGCGCGTCGATAGTATCAATACCGGAGGAATTGGAGGAGATCCTGAGCCCACCGGTGAGGGAGACGAGATCCGCCCGGAAGGAGGCTGCGCAAGATAACGTCAGAGAGAGAAGAGC